CTCGAGCGCCGCCCGAGGCCCTGGACTCGTGGTGGTGGCGAGGTCGCGCTCGAGGCGCTCGATGGCCCTCGCCAGCTCCGCCTGGGCGCGGGGGCGGCGAAAGGGGAGGACCCCCCAAAATCGGGGGCGTCCAGGAGGGGGTCGTCCAAGAGGGGGGGTCGCACATCATGGCCGCAAGCACGTGCGCGGACGAGGGGGGGACCAAGGGGCGCATTCAAAGAAGAGGAGGGGGCCGTGAAATCGAGGGAGAGTTCGTGGCTCTGGCCATGATATCCACACACCCCTACGGCGGGACAAAAACAGAGACGACGACGACGACGACGACGACGACGACGACGACGACGACGACGACGACGACGACGCGGCGGCGGCGGCGGCGGCGGCGGCGGCGCGGCGGCGGCGGCGGCGACGACCGCGGCCCGCACACACCCCTCGTGAAGGACTCCCCAAATTTGGGGAGGGCGCCGGCCACCCACCTCACCGGTCCTGGCTGGGCCGGTCCTGGGCCCCCGGCTCACCGATCACACACGTCGCGCCCCCACCCACCCCAACCCCTTACCAGGTGGCTGCGCCAAGACCAGATTGGGGAGACGGGGATTGAGGAGGAGGAGGAGGAGGAGGAGGAAGAGGAAGAGGAAGAAGAGGAGGGGGAAGGGGGGAGGGACAACTTGGGTGCGCTCGCGTCATATCTGACGCCCTACCCCTCCCTCCCATCCTTTTAACATTGCGTAGATCTCCTCTCTATGCGCACAATCAGATGTCGAGCAGGGCAATGATCCCGAAAGGGTGCGCGATGCATGTAGAGCACGGCATAGCAGGGCGTCGAAAAGAACGGCAGAGCGTAGTACGTCATAGCATGGCGTGGCGTTGCGTGGTGAAGAAGTGCATCACAAAGCATTGCAACGCAAAGAATGGCATCGCACAGCGGCACATAACAGAACATGGTATAGTATGCTGTTGAAAATCAAAACGCAGCATGGCATAGCATGGCGTGGCACTGCGTAGTGAAGTACTGCATATCCTAGCATTGCAGCTGGCATGGCATCGCACAGCGGAACACCACATAGCATTGCATTGCAAGCCGTGGAGTGGCGCTGGAAATAATGACGCCAACGCTGCAGCGGGAGCACGATTCGGAATGAGCGGAAGCGCGGAAATGAGGCCAGCGCTGCAGCGGGAGCACGATGAGGAACGAACGGAACCGCGAAAATGAGGCCAGCGCTGCAGCGGGAGCACGATTCGGAACGAGCGGAAGCGCGGAAATGAGGCCAGCGCTGCAGAGGGAGCACGATTCGGAACGAGCGGAAGCGCGGAAATGAGACCAGCGCTGCAGCGGGAGCGATTCGGAACGAGCGGAAGCCCGAAAATGAGGCCAGCGCTTCGGCTAGAACAACATGTTATAGAAAGGAAGAAAGATTTCTCTTCTTCTTTTAATATAGGAAGAAGAAGGAGGAAGAGGAAGAAGAAGAGGAAAAAAAAAAAAGCAATCCAACTCCCAGGAATCCTGCGTGAAAAAAAACACTACGCGGAGGGGGGGGCGAATATCTTCCAGACGTCATCAAGGGAGAGAGGCAGGGAAGGAGGGAGGAGGCAGCGGGAGAAAGGAGGGAAGGAAGAGGATCAAGAATGAGGAAGGGCCTGTGGCGGCCTTGCCCCGATGGCTCCGAAATGCGGAGGAAAAAGAGGAGGACGAGGAGGACGAGGAGGAAGAGGAGGAGGAGGAGGAGGGGAGGGGAGGGGAGGGGAGGGGAGGGGGAGGGGAGGGGGGGCGGGAGGGGGAGGGGGAGGGGAGGGGAGGGGGGAGGGGAGAGGAGGGGAGGGAGGGGAGGGGAAGGGAGGGGGAGGAAAAGGGGAGGGGCTGGGAGGGGAAGGGATGGGAGGGGAGAGAGAAGGGGGGGGGGAGGGGAGGGGCTGGGGGGGGGGGAGGGGAGAGGGGAGGGGAGCGGAGGAGACGAGGAGGATGAGGAGGAGGAGGAGGAGACGAGGAGGAGGAGGAGGACCAGTGTAAACCCAACAGTCACCAACGATGTTGGAATTAACCCTCTCTCCAAGGTCCCTCTTCATAGGCCCCTGCAACGGTTCATTTCCACGGAGGGAACTGCCACGTTGGAAGACAACCGTTTGAAGACCCTGAAACATGCCAACGCATTGTTCTCGGGATTGCAACGCCACGGATCAACCTGACTGTTGCATCTTGACGATCCTGACATCTTGCCATAACGCCGTTCCTGGGACATCAACACCGCGAATCGACGAAACTGTTGCGCCCTCATAATCCTGGATCCTTCCAAAGCACTGCTTCTGGTACACTGATAATGGGAATTCGCGAAACTCTTGTTTTTCTACATATAATTACTATGAATAAGAGGGGCAAACATATGTTGTGTTGAAGAAAAAACAAAAACCTGCGCGGCGCAAAAAACAACAAAAAAAACGAGAGCCACACGTTCAAAAGGAACCGCCCTCAATCCGTGAAGTTTAAAAATGAATGCACGCGGCGATAAGGCGAGAGCTACGTTTTGAAAACGGCCTGCCCGCAAGCCGCGAAACTCTTGCAATTGTTTAGAAGCGAATGTGCGCGGCGCTGAGGCGAGAGCCACATTTTGAAAACGACCCGCCCTCAATCCGTGAAACTCTTGCAACTGCTGTTAAAAGAATGTGCGCGGCGCTACGGCGAGAGCCACGTTTTGAAAACGGCCCGCCCTCCATCGGTGAAACCGTTGCCAATGTGTGAGCTTCAGGGTCATAAAGGTGATGAAGTCTCAGGCAAAACGCCCCGCCCGCCCTAAAAACTGGCCTCGGGGTGCGACAGGGAGAAACTAGTTATAAGGAAAAGGAATGGAATAGGAGGAGGAGGAGGAGGAGGAGGAAGAGGTGGAGGAGGAGGAGGAGGGGGATTTTGTTGACTTCCACGGCAGCTCCTCTTACACTCCAGCACCTGCAGCGAGGGACCTGCAGGGGCTAAGCCGGTTAAGCTCAAGATTCACATTCTCGAAGCTCCTAGCGCCAGAGCTAAGACGACACACCGACATGCACAGCCCTGCCAAGGACTCCAACGGCAGGCTACGGTGCCAGAGGTAGATGCGAATTCAAACCCACCGCAAGATTCCAGCACACGTGAACGAGGCTTGAGCTCAGAATCCAAGGCCTCGAGCCAAAAGCGGCGTGGAGCGGGCCGTCGTGTGGATGGGGACAGGGACAGGAATAGGGATCGGGGGTCGGCGAAACCGGCACTGGTGCACGTGGCTGGGAAGGGCAGGGGGCGTGTCTGGCCTGGCCGCCCCGGCCCTGCTCGCCTGCTGGCTGTGCGCCGCCGAGGAGGACGCAGACCTGCAGAGGAGGAGGAGGAGGAGGAGGAGGAGGAGGAGGAGGAGGAGGAGGAGGAGGAGGAGTTGGAGTTGGAGTTGGAGCTGGAGGACCCAGGAGGGGGGCAGGCGCCCGCGCCCCTGGGAGAGCTGGCCCCGGGGCCCGAGCCCGCCGCGCGGGGAGGGCCGCGGCGGAGCGGCCAGCCTCCCCCGCTGCGGCGGCCCGCCCCTCCGCCCGCCCGCTGGACGGCGGGCACCTGGCGAGGGGCGCCCCCGGGGCGCTCGAGGCGCTCGAGGCGTTCGAGGCGCTCGAGGCGCTCGAGGCGCTCGCGGCGTTCCTGTTGCGGATGTCACGACAATGGACGCTCTGACCGTTCCATTGTTGAATCTAAAGTGTCGCTCGAATGTCTTAAACATGCTTCAGGCATGCTCGGAAAGCGGTTGAAACATGCTTCGGCACTTGAAAGTCATGTTCGAAACATGTTGCAGACATCTGGCAACTGTTTGGCAGCGCGCCTCCTCTCCATGGATCGTCTTCCACAACGCTCCTGGACCGCCGAAGACCGCCGACGACGGCCCTGGAGCGATGGGCAACGATGGGTCCATGGCCGAACACGTAATGTCCTGCGGCGGCCCGCCCCTCCGCCCGCTGGACGGTGGGCACCTGGCGAGGGGCGCCCCCTCGCGCTCGAGGCGCTCGGGGCGCTCATTGGACCGCCGACGAGGGCCCGTTCGGAACCAATGCGGGAATTCACGGAAATGTTCACGCGCGCTCCCGAGTTTCAGAACTTCTTCGCCGCCGAATTGTATCCAAGCTTTTTCCGAACTTCGGGGTTCTGGCACCTTTGAACTTGACATTTGCAGAAGCAAAGAAGCATTAGCCTCGAACTGTTGGCGGACTTTGGCGCCTCCTCAGCTAATTACAACCCTGGACCGCCGAAGACCGCCGACGACGGCCCTGGAGCGATGGTTAACGAGGAGTCCATGGTCGAACACATAATGTCCCCCCCTGTCGATCCCCGTCGCCCCGACAGGCTCCGACGTCCTGCTGGCCCGCAAGGATGGGCCGCTCGAGGCGCTCCTGGACGCCGCGGGCCGCGGGGTCTTCTCCTGCCCGGCCCGCAGGAGACCAAAACGGCATCAGCAAGATCAGATAGTCAGTCCCGGAAGCTTCCGCTCGTCTTTGGTTGCAATGACATCGGCGCAGAATGCCAAATAGAGCTCAGTAGCGTCAAACAGCGCCCAACAGCGCCCCGTGGCGCCGAATAGCGTGCAAGTGCCGCCCAATAACGACAAATGGCGCCCAACAGCGCCATGTGAGGAAGGCGCATTATGTCCATTGTGGCCCCCCCCTCCTCTGAAGAGGCCCACAGACACGCATATATATAAGTAGATATACATATATATATATATATACAGATGCATACATATACCTATACGTATACATAGACTTAGACATTTGCATACACATATACATATACCTAAAAGTGTACCTAGACATGTACATACACATCATATACACATACATATACGTATACCTATATCTATACATATATCTACGTATACATAGACCTATGCATAAACATACATATATAGACATGCATATACACACACACGTGCAACGATATATGCCTATACATATACATATGCATATGCGCATGTGTATGCATAAGCATAATCATATACATATACGTATACAAAAACCTAAAGATGTTATACATATACATATACAGATACGTATACGTATACCTATACATATCCCTCACACATACACAGACGTATAGTCGTACATATGTATATGTATGTATATACGTATAGAGATATAGTCAAAGAGAGAGAGAGAGAGAGACATATATATATATATATATATAACTCACAGGTTTTCCCTTAGGTTACCATCTATTCTGGATGCTCGGTCTCCCCTCCCTTCCCAGATGCTCCCATCTCATCCTGGACATCGACGCTGTTGGTTGATCTGCGCCTACCTTTCCGCCCCGACCCTCGCCTTGGCGGCGGGCGCTCCCCGGACCTCACTTCCGATCTTCGCGCTGCGGCTCTCTCACCGCGGGCCTTGCCGCCCGCTTCCTCGGGCCCCCGGGCCTGCACGGATCGACCTGCCGACCAATGCTGCATAACAAAGTTAAAAATCGGGCGCGTCCCCCTGCAGGGGGACTTCGACGACAAACAAAGAACACTCCAAAAATATTCGAAAATGGTCAAAAAAATACTCGAAAAATAGTGCCCTGATTATTGTTCGGCCATTTTCGAATACTCCTCCAGTAGAGGGACACGCCCGACTCAAGCGTAAAGATGGGGCCCAGGGCTCCGGTGGTGACTTTTTGCGATGCTGCATGCCGTTTGCAGCGTCAGCTCCAAGGGCCCTCGTGATGTGGAAAAGTCACGACAGGTCTTGGGGCACTTTCGGCATCTCGGGGGCCCCGCAGGGGCCCCGTGGGCCCAGACGTGTTCGGGGGTCCCAAGTGTGGAGACACGCACAGCTTGTCGGAGGTCCAGGCTTGACGGTGGCCGCGCTCCATGGCGATCCGGGCACTGCGACTGCGCCTCCTCCTCCTCCTCCTCCTCCTCCTCCTCCTCCTCCTCCTCCTCCTCCTCCTGGGCCCTGGGGGCCTCACGGATCGCTCCGGCGCGCGAGGTGCGCCGCAGGAGGGCCCGGCCAGGCGGGAGCTCGCGGATCGCCCCAGCTCCAAAAGTGCCGCCGCGAGACGGACGTGCTGGTCCTGCGCGCGCCCCTCGGAGGCGCGCGTCCGACCCGAGCACACAGCACCAGCACGTCGCAGCACAGCATTCCGCCCGAACGGCAGGGCCAAGAAGCGCCCGCGACGGAGTTCAGACGACGAGGACTCTCGGCGCATGCGCCCCCCACGCACACGCAGTACCAGCACGTTGGGGCGACGCCGATCTTGGAAGAAGGAAAAACGCCATACACACAAACTGTTGGCGCTCCGCGCGGCTTCTTGGATCCGCGCTGGACCCCTCCCTAGGGGCGGCGCCACGGGCGGCGCCAGAGGCGCCGCCAGGGGGGCCCAGCGCAGATCCAAGAAATCCGCGCGGAGCGCCACAAGTTGATGTTTGTGGCGTTTTTCTTCCTCGAGTTTCGCCGATCTTGGGGAAACCAAAAGGTACCGATACCGCTACTCCCCGGACCTCTCCCGGGGTGCGTTCTGACCAGGATTTCGAAGCGAATCCAGCGGTAACAACGAGGGCCTCCGAGGAGGCCGAAAAAAAGGAAAACGGGCGAAGGGCAGCGGTATTGGTACCTTTTTTGGACGCCCGAAATGGTTACGGAAAAAATGGGTACAATGCCCAACAACTAATGTTGTCCCAAACCAACAGCGGCCGTTGTTGGGCAGGCGGCATTCTGTCTCGAATGGACACAGGCCGCGGCGGCGTGGACAGCGAGTCCTGTTCAAAATGACCAGGCACTGCTGTTGGGCAGTGTACCCATTCTTCCCGTACCCATCTCGTGCGTGCCGAGGACCTCCTCCTCCTCTGAGATCTGGGGCCCCGGTCGCGATTCCCCACGACGTTGAAATTCCTTCCTCGACTCAGGATCCCGGGGTCGGTCCGCAGCCGACGGCACGGCCCCCGCCAGAGGCCCGCTCGCCTCCCGCGCCATGCCCCAGGCAGGCCCAGACATCCGACGTCGTGGCTCTTTCGCGAAGTCCACATGACTCCTCCTCCTCCTCCTCCTCCTCCTCCTCCTCCTCCTCCCCTCCTCCTCCTCCTCCTCCTTTTCCTCCTCCTCCTCCTCCTCCTCCTCCTCCTTTCCCTCCTCCTCCTCCTCCTCCTTTCCCTCCTCCTTCTCCTCCTCCTCCTCCTCATCCTCCTCCCCCTCCTCCTCCTCGTCCTCCTCCCCGTCCTTCTCCTCCTCCTCCCTTCCCCTTCCCCCCTCCTCCCTTAAACTTCGGAGGGGGGGTCCATCCTTGTTTTTTCAGGTACCCAGATGGGGTTCCATCCCCCGAGCACCCACGACAGGGCCCCCCTCCAAAAACAGAATCACAAAATGGCCATCGGCTGGGGAAGGGCATGCTGCTGGTCGGGTTTTGGCCGCGCCTCGAAATCCCTGGGCGGCTTCCCAGCCTCAAGCAGGTCAAGGTTCCTTCAGCCCGAGGACGTGGTCTGACCGCTGCAGACCTTCCCGAGTTTCTTGAAGGAGACGGCTGCCGTGCATCCACAGTCACGGCACCATAAAATTCCCCTAAGGGATTGAATATGCCGATGGCTTGAATGGATGCGGCACGGCCTTCCTGAACACTGTGCTCGGACACACTCTGCCGTTTTGCCCAGGGCTGGCGAGGAAGAACATGTCGCACACTTCAAGGGCGTGTCCTTATTCAGGATAAGCTGGTGAGTGGAAAGGGCCTGCAGCTCGGCGAAGCTATCAGCGCGGCCAGTCTTCCGATGCTTAGCTTCGCGCCTCCTATCCTCGACGCCGCTGGCTCTTTCAATCTCGGCGGCTGCTTGGGCAACATGAACTGTCACCGCCAAAGTGTGTTCATGCATCTCCCTCCCTCCCTCCCTCCCTCCCTCCCTCCCTCCTCCTCCGCCTCCTCCTTCTCCTCCTCCATTCCTTTTCCATACAGCTAACTGATCCCTGTCGCACCCCGAGACCAGTTTTCAGGGCGGGCCAGGCGTTTCGCCAGAGACTTCCTCACCATTCATGACCCTGAAGCTTACAAGTTGACAACAGCTCCACAGATGGAGGGCGGGTCGATTTCAAAATGTGGCTCTCGCCTTGGCGCCGCGCACATTCTTTGTAAAAAAAGAGAGCTTCGCAAGAGCTTCCCGGATTGAGGGCGGGCCGTTTTCAAAATGTGGCTCTCACCTAGGCGCCGCGCACATTCTTTTAAAAATGTGCAACAGCTTGCCGGATTGAGGACGGCTCCTTTTTCCAAAATGTGGCTCTCGCTTTAGCGCCGCGTACAAATTTGCAAGAGTTGCACGGGTTCCCACGATCAGCGTACAAGATATTGTGTTTTGGAAGGATTTATGATTATGAGGGTGCAACAGTTACGTTGACTCGCGGTGTTGAACAGGAATAGCAACTGGCACGATTCAGGATCGTGAAGACGCAACAGTCAGGTTAATCCGTGGCGTTGAACTCCCGAAAACAATGTGTTGGCATGGTTCAGGATCTTCGAACGGTTGTCTTCCAACGAGGCAGTTCCCTGTGGAAATGAACCATTGTAGGGGCCTATGAAGAGGGAGCTTGGAGGGAGGGTTAATTCCAACATCGTTGATGACTCTTGGGCTTGCGCTGGTCCTCCTCCTCCTCCTCCTCCTCCTCCTCCTCATCATCATCATCATCATCATCATCATCATCATCATCATCATCATCATAATCATCATCATCATCATCATCATCATCATCATCATCATCATCATCATCATCATCACAATCAGCATCATCATCAGCAGCATCATCACCATCATCATCAGCACCATCAGCATCATCATCATCAGGAGCAGCATCAGCATCATCACCATCATCATCATCAGCATCAGCATCGTCATCATCATCGTCATCATCATCATCATCATCATCATCATCATCATCATCATCATCATCACCCCTCTTCCTCCTTCTCCTCCTCCTCCTCCTCATCCCCCACACATCTCCCAGGACCCGCTTTTCGTCCTGAGTCGTTTTTGACGGTCCTGGGGCCCGGCGAGGGCCCCCCAGAGGCCGAAAGCGGCACAAAGCCTCGCGCCGTGGTTTCTTCACGACGCGAGGAGAGGTGCAGTGGTGGTCACAACAGTTGATGCATGGATACAACAATTTGCGGTCTGGACGCAATCGTTACGCGTGGATGGCAACCGTGCGTTCTTTCAAACGCACTCGCTTCCGCCCCGTGCGAGAGCTCGCAGACCCCAAGCCGCTGCATGCTGGAGCAGTGGGGGCAGCCCAGATGGAGGGGGGAGGTGCAATAGTTCGTGGGCACTCACTGCTGCATCTCAACTATTGCTGGGGAACGCGAGCTACTGTTCGGGGCGGAAACGAGTTCGTTTGAAAGAGCGCACGGTTGCCCTCCACGCGCAACGAATGCGTCCAGACCGCACACTGTTGCATCCATGCGTCAACTGTGGTGAGCACCTTCCCTCGGGACATAGAAAAGTCACGACCAGGGGACTTGAACGGTTTCCAGCCTCCGGGGAGACCTCGCCGGGCCCCGAGACCGCCAAAGACTACTCAGGACGATAAGAGTCGGTCCCAGGAACTCCCGGGGCCCACGCTGCGAAAAAAGAACACGACGTCGGGATCATGGGTCCAGGCGTCAGCGGGGCGCCCCCGGCGCCCCCTGAGATCCGACACCGGACCAAAAAATACAGCATCGCGGAAGATCACGACTGGAGCCCCAGACCCCAAATCTCTACAGCACTACAGCATCTTCCGCCTGGACCGAGGCCCGAATCTGGGCGAAAGCGCCTGGAAGGAAAAATGAGAAAGAAAAAAAGAAAACGGGTCGCCGGGATCTCAGGGTCGGCGGCTCCCCAGGGGCGCCCCGGCCCCCACCCACAAGAAGCGGCGGCCGGCGGCCGAAAAAAGGGAGACTCTCCGGCCTTGCCGCTCCTCTTCTCGTGCGCCTGCAGCTGCAGCCGGGAGAACGCGTAGGCGGCGCCGGCAAGCGTCATGCCGTCGATGGCCTGCACCTCGGCTGGCAGGCGGAGCAGGAGGAGGAGGAGGAGGGGGAGGAGGAGGGGCGGAGGCCTCCGGTCCTCCTCGGCCGCCCTGGCCGCGGCCTCGGCGGCCTGGCGCCCGCGGGGGGGGAAGGGGAGAGGGGGAGGGAGGGAGGAGGAGGAGGCGGAGGAGGAAGAAGAGGAGGAGGAGGAAAAGGAGGAGGAGGAGGAGGGGCGGAAAACAGGTCCGTCTCCGCGGCCTCGCGGGCCACGCCCGTGGGCCGCACGCGACCCCACGAATACGCGGCGCGTTGTTCGAAGATGCCCCGCGCGGGGCGTCTCTTGGCCGCGCGCACAAGGGGGTCGGCTTCACCGAAGGAGGCTGCTTCTTAGAAGGCGCAGGCCTTACATCTGCAGACGAGGGCCGCGCCTTCTGAGAAGCAGGGGTGCTTCGAAGAAGCCATCCCCACTCCCCCTGTGGGCGTGGCTGGCTACCCAGACCCCCGACGTCGTGATCTTGTCACAACGTCGATCCCCAGAGGTCTCGACCCCTTCCTCAAGACTGGCTCTTCATCCCGACTCGTTTATGACGGCCCCGAGGCCCGTTGAGGGCCCCGGGAGGCCGGGGAATGTGTGTATATATATATACATACATATACGTATACACATGCAAACACATATGCATATACATATATATATATATATACACATATACGTATATATATATACACATATACATATACATATGCATATACACATACATATACATATACATATACACATACATATACATATACATATACATAAACATACACGTATACATATACATATACATAAACATATACATATACATATACAGATACATAACGATATACCTATACATATACATATACATATACATATACATATACATGTACAGATATACATATACATATACATATACGTATACATATACGTATACATATACATATACATATACCTATACCTATACATATACATGTGCATACGCATATACATCTACATATACATCTACATCTACATCTACATATACATATACAACTAGATCTACATATACATATACATATACATATACAAATACGTATACAAAAACATATACATATACATATACATGTACATATACACATACATATCTATATTTATATATATATATATACATAAATGTATGCATATATACATATACATATACATAGGCATAGACATATACATTTATATACAACTACATATACATACTCATATTCATATACATGTACATATACATATACATATACATGTACATGTATATACATATACGTATACATATACATATGCATATACAAATACATGTGCATATGAATATACTTATACCTATACATCTACATATACGAATACATATACATAAACATATGCATATGCATATACATATGCATATGAATATACAAATACAAATGTATACACACATCTACATATACATATACATATACATATGCATCTACATCTACATATACATATACGTATACATAAACATATATATATATACATATACATATACATATACATACATATATATACACATATACATATATATATATGTACATATACATATACATATACATGTACATAGCATATGCATATACATATACATATACATATATATAAACAGACATATACATATACACATACATATACATATACATATACAGCTTGCCCACCCACCCACCCCGCACCCCCAAACAGCGGAGTGAGGGGGAGGAGGGGTGGTTCCCCCCTCAGCGTCCTTCTCTTCTCAAACCAAAACAACCAAACATACACAGTGTTTCCTTGAACCGAGAGCGCCAAACACTGTGTATACGTGTTTTTTTTAGATTTTGGGGTCTGCGGAGCAAAGAAGCCCTGTGTATGTTTGTTTTTTGCGGAGTGTTTGGTCTGAGGAGCAAGAAAACCCTGTGTATGTTTGGTGTTTTTTTGTTGTTGGTGGTTTTGCAAGCCCCAATGCTCGCCGGGACCCCCCGACGACTCCAGACCAAGAAACCAAACAGACACAGTGTTTCCTTGCACCGAGAGCGCCAAACACTGTGTATGTTTGGTTGTTTGAGTTGTTTGGTATGAGGACCAAGGAAACACTGCGTATGCTTAATATTTTTTGTTTGTTTGGTTTTGACAGCGCCAGTGCCTGCTGGGAAAGAGGCCCCTGCGAGCGCTGGGGATTTCAAAACCAAAAAAGCGAGAACCAAAAAAATAGGTCCTTGCTCCTCAGACCCAAAAAACCAAAACAACCAAACACACACAGTGTTTGGCGCTCTCGGAGCAAGGAAACACTGTGTATGTTTGTGTGTTTGTTTTGTTTTGGTTTTGACAGCGCCAGTGCTTGCTGGGAGAGAGGCCCCTGCGAGCATTGGGGCTTTAAAAACCCCAAAGAAGTGTTTCCTTGCTCCTCTGACCCAAAAAAACCAAACAACCAAACATACACAGTGTTTGGCGCTCTCGGAGCAAGGAAACACTGTATGTTTGTTGCTTGTTTTGTTTTTTGTTTTGAAAGCGCCAGTGCTTGCTGGGAGAGGGGCCCCTGTGAGCATGGGGGTTTCAAAACCAAACAAAAAAATGGTTCCTTCCTCGTCAGACCCAAAAAACAACCAAAAAACAAAAACAACAAAAAAACTGATTGGCACTCTCGGTTCAAGGAAACACTGTGTATGTTTGGTTTTTGCTGAAATCGCAAAGAGGGAGGAGAGGGAGCAGGAGGAACAAACGATCATTGGTTACGGTTCTGCTTCTGGTTATGGTTTTGGTTCTTCTAGTTCTGGTTCTAGTTCTGGTTCTGGTTTCGGTTGTTCTGGCGTTGGTTCTGGTTGTGGTTCTGGTTCTGGTTCGTTTTGTGGTTTTGTTGGCTTTGGGGGTGCTGGGGGGGGCGACCATATATATATATATATATATATATATATATTTATATACACAATCAATACCTAGAATTTGTGTCTTGAATCTTTGTATTAGGAAAGCTGTACTCTTTCACGACGCGAGTGGGCCTGGGTATCGCGCCAGGGAGCCCAGACCGCGAGGGCGCGGATGCGGGCCTGCGCGCCGCTCGTGCCTCGGCGGTGGGCTTCTCCCACAAAGGCCCGCGCCTTCGAAGAAGCAGGGGTGCTCCTAAGAAGCCTCCCCCCCTCCCCTACCCGTCGGTCGCGCATGTCCTCCGACAGGGGGATCTTGGAAGAAGAACCAAGAGTTAGTCAAAAAAAGGATCGACCAGTCGCTCCCAGCCTACTTTGTCGACTATCTTTGAACATTCCTCTTGTGAAGGGGGACATGCCCGCGGTAGTCGGCGCTCGACCGGTCGCGGCGAGCACGCCCGGGGCGGCCGACCTCGCCGTTGCCGCGGCACGCAGCCATGGAGGCAGACCGTCGGGAGACCTCCCAGTGCTGCTCGCCCCTCGAGGGCACAGGCACGACTGTCCTCCTCGAGGCCCCTGGCCGCGGTGAGGACGACGGCGTGCCCGCCGCAGTCCCGCGCATCCTCTCTGAACTGACCCCTGCCGACGCCCAAGCGCGGCCCGGGGCCGCCGATAGTCCATGCCTTCGGCGAGGCTCCCGGGCGAACATGTATGACGCCCGCCCCTGCAACAGCCGCCCCGATCGTCGCCTCCGATATATCGTTTCCCGAGCGGTGCAACCATCTTGTAGTATAGCTCGGTGATTCAAAGATGGGGTCCTGAGGGATGGGGTCTTCAGGACGAGGTGCCTCAGACAATGTAAGGCAACCTAGGATCCCTTCCTATCCTTGGGACCCCATTCGTCACGACCCCATCTTTGCACCACCAGTATCGTTTCCCAAGTGGTACGGCGAGAAAGCACCCGCATCGGAGCATCTATATATATATATATATATATATATATGTATATATATACACACATATATATATATATATGAAATAGAACCCCCCAAAAAAAAGGAAAGAGAGAGAGAGAGGGAGGGCGTGATCCACCGCCGCTTCACTGTGGAAAATTCCCCCCCCCTCTTCCTCCGAACCCGGGGGTCCCCCCCTCCCCCTCCGAAAATACCCCCCCCCCCTCTCGAACGCCACCCCCCCTTCCCAAACAAAACCTCCCCTCCCCCCTAACCGCCCCCCCGCCCCCCTCCAAAACCAGGGGGGGGTCACTACAAGTTCGAACCCCACCCACCCACCCCCTCCACAAAACGGGACGGGGTCACGAACGGTTCGAACCCCCCCCCCACTAGCCGCCGGCAAACGACTCCCGGGTCCCCACCACCGTCTTTACCACCGCCCTCACCACTGTCCCACTACCACCACCACTCTCCCCACCACGATCCCACTCTCCCCGCTGTCCCCACTGTCCTCACCACTGTCCCACTCTCCCCACTGTCCCCTCTGTCCTCACCACTGTCCCCACTGTCCTCACCGCTGTCCCACTGTGCTGTCCCACTGTCTCACTGTCCCCACCATTGTCTCACAGTCCCCACTGTCCCCACCACTGTCCCCACTGCCCCCACCAGTGCCCCAACCTCTGTCGCACTGTCCCCACTGTCTCCACCCCTGTCTCCACCACGGTCCCACTCTCCCCTCTGTCCCCACTGTCCCCACTGTCCCCACCACTGTCCCCACTGTCCCCACAACGGTCCCCACCACTGTCCGACTGTCCCCACTGTCTCCATCACTGTCCCACTGAGCTGTCCCACTGTTCCCACCACTGTCCCACTGTCCCCACTGTCCCCACCACTGTCCCCACTGTACCACTGTCCCGGTGTCCCACCACCGACCTCACCACTGTCCCCACCAGCACCGTCCCCACCACTGCCCCACTGTCCCCACTGTCCCCACCACTGTCCCCACTGTCCCCACACCATTATCCCCACCACCACCGTCCCCACCACTGTCCCCACTGTCCCCACTTCCCCCACCTCTGTCCCACTGTCCCCACACCACTGTCCCCACCACCACCGTCCCCACCACTGTCCCACTGCCCCCACTGTCCCCACCTCTGTCCCACTGTCCCCACTGTTCCCACCGTTGTCCCCG